AAAATTTTTTATTATTCTACAATGAAGATAACATCTTATTATCATACTAAAAAGACTATGATGATGATGTCGTTGGCCTCATTGTGTTTTGCGTGCCAGCCCTTGGTTTTGGAACAGTTAAGACCATGTAGACAATACTGGTCGGCTGACGCATCACCGCAATTACACGTATATTCCGTGTGAATTGGGGCAGCAAGGTGCAGAGCCACTGCAATACGGAGGGTCGTAGGGTCGAGACGTGTTCCAGTTGCCGGTATGGGAACTGTTTGGAGGAAGCCCCCAGAGTGAGATGTGCTCTCAGCTTGGAGACGGGCAATCTTCCTGTCAGATGTTGCAGCCCTGAGCATGTTGGTAAGCATCTTTTCGGCGATGGGGCCATCCCAGCTTGGCTGTTTGTAAGCCAGTGCTGCACTGGGGTTTGGTGCTGGAGCAGCAAGAGTCTCCCATTCAGTGGAGGCACTGGCATAGTTAGGGTCCTGTATTCCTGCTGAGTCACTGAGGCTAACAGGAAGAATTTATCTTATTAACTCGTTTGATGCTGTGGAAAAGGATAGGAAAGCCGGTAGGGCAATCTGGGAGGATATGCGTACTCCCAGCCCACCAGACCTGACCGGAAGTGAGGTTTGCAACAACTGTCCAGGGAGCAGAGACAATGTGTGTACCATTGACAAAGATCTTCAACACTTCATTTGAAACTGGGCAACTCCCGGAGGTATGGAAGATGGCAAATGTAGTCCCAATTTTTAAAAAGGGAGACAGACATGAGGCACTAAACTACAGACCTGTATCACTAACGTGTATAGTATGCAAGGTCATGGAGAAGATCATCAGGAGGAGAGTGGTGGAGCACCTGGAAAGAAACAAGTGTATAATTGACAACCAGCATGGTTTCAGGGAGGGAAAATCCTGTGTCACAAACCTATTAGAGTTTTATGACAAGGTGACAGAAGTAAGTCAAGAGAGAGAGGGGTGGATCGACTGCATTTTTTTGGACTGCAAGAAGGCCTTCGACACAGTTCCTCACAAGAGGTTACTGCAAAAGCTAGAGGATCAGGCACACATAACAGGAAAGGCACTGCAATGGATAAGAGAATACCTTACAGGGAGGCAACAACGAGTCATGGTACGTGACGAGGTGTCAAAGTGGGCGTCTGTGACAAGCGGGGTTCCACAGGGGTCAGTCCTTGGACCTGTGCTGTTCTTGGTATATGTGAATGACATAACGGAAGGGATAAACTCAGAAGTGTCCTTGTTTGCGGACGATGTGAAGTTAATGAGAAGAATCAAATCGGATGAGGATCAGGCAGACTACAAAGAGACCTGGACAGGCTACAAGCCTGGTCCAGCAACTGGCTCCTTGAGTTTAACCCTGCCAAATGCAAAGTCATGAAGATTGGGGAAGGACAAAGAAGACCGCAGACACAGTAATAGTTTAGATGGCCAAAGTCTGCAAACCTCACTCAAGGAAAAAGATCTGGGGGTGAGTATAACACCGAGCATATCTCCTGAGGCGCACATCAATCAGATAACTGCTGCAGCATACGGGCGCCTGGCAAACCTACGGATAGCGTTCCGATACCTCAGTAAGGAGTCGTTTCAAGACTCGTATACCATTTACGTCAGGCCCATACTGAGTATGCAGCACCAGTTTGGAATCCACACCTAGTCAAGCACATCAAGAAATTAAGAAAGTGCAAAGGTTTGCAACAAGACTAGTCCCAGAGCTACGGGGATTGTCCTACGAAGAAAGGTTGAGGGAAATTGGCCTGGCGACACTGGAGGCCAGGAGGGTCAGGGGAGACATGATAACGACATACAAAATACTGCGCTGAATAGACAAGGTGGACAAAGACAGGATGTTCCAGAGATGAGACAGACACAAGAGGTCACAATTGGAAGTTGAAGACTCAGATGAATCAAAGGGATGTTAGGAAGTATTTCTTCAGTCATAGAGTAGTCAAGCCGTGGAATAGCCTAGAAAGTGAAGTAGTGGAGGCGGGAACCATACATAGTTTTAAGGCGAGGTATGATAAAGCTCATGGAGCAGGGAGAGAGAGGACCTAGTAGCAATCAGTGAAGAGGCGGGGCCAGGAGCTATGAATCGACCCCTGCGACCACAAAATAGTGAGTACAACACACACACACACACATATATATATATATATATATATATATATATATATATATATATATATATATATATAATATGGTATGTGTGTGTGTGTGTGTGTGTGTGTGTGTGTGGTGGTGTGTGTGTGTGTGTGTGTGTGTGTGTGTGTTGTGAGCTCTGACTACCTGCCACCGGTGAGTACTTCTGCACTTCGGTTCCAAGATGGCGGATCGTGCCGGCAGGCACGTCAACACTGTGTGCATAGAGCTGATACGTGGATTGTTGAGCGGTGCTACGTTCATTGTGCTTGCTTCCAGGCATTATTGGAGATCTCTACGGTATTCCTAACGAGGAACTGTATGGTGTCGCCCTTAACGGTTTGAGGAGTTTTTCGTGAAGTTTACGGGGCCAGTTTCTACAGCAGTATTGTGACTGAATACCAGGAACGAAGGATGTGCCTTAACTCGACGGTGGAGGTGTGTATGCATGATGTGTCCATATACTTCACATGGGTTAAGGTGCGGAACGTATCGTTTGAGGCGACGCAGTTTGGACTTGAGGAGGTCTTCAGAAACTATAGTGTTGTTCAAGAAGCTAGAGGGGGGGGGGGTGGAGGGACGGCCCATATGCAGGGCTTCCGGAAAGTTCCTACACCCTCAAGATGATGCTGATGAGGCCTATACTGTCACATGTTCTATTGACGGGATACAGGACCCAAGTCTACGTGCATTACGCAAAGCAAAGGAGGACGTGCCCTCTTTGTGACTCGTATGAGCACATGGCGGCGCAGTGTGTACGTAAGGCTGCTCCAAGTGTGCCAATGCTTTTGGAGAAGGAACACCAGCTGAGTACGGTGGGCACAGAGAGGAGTTGGTCGGCTGGACAGAGGAAGGCTCTCTGGAGTGAGGAGGTGGAGAATGAGAGGGAGCTGTTGGGGACGTGTGTTACACTCCTGGAGGTGGCTAGTGAGGATCCACCAAGGCCTGTGGTGGTGGAGGAAGGGGAAATGTCAACGCAGGTGTTGTTGGAGGCTGTGCTACAAGATTTTTTGGATGAAACTGTGGTCGGCGAGGACGTGGATGGAAGGTCCAGTGATGTGCAGAAGCTGGAAGGGCTGCTGGGGAAAGTGGAGGTCTTGGATAAGTAAGACCAGAAATGGTAGTGGTAGCTGAGGTACACTAGGAGGACTTGCCTGATGATGATATGAGTTTGTGTGGCAGCTCTAGGAAGCGGTCGTCTAAATTGGATGAAGTATTGACACCTGGGCAGAGACCAAGTAAGAAGGCATGGGCAGATGTGGTAGGGAAAGCAACTAAAGTGGGGTGCACAGGGGAAATCGGGTGAGGAGGGGCAAGGTGGAGTGGGGGGCCCGATTAGGAAGAATGGTAAGGAGAGTGTGGGCATCATGAAAGGGAGTGTGAGCAAGCCACTGTGGCACAGGGTTAAGCCGCCTTTCCTTGAGCATTCAGGTGTGTGACTTTAAATGTTAATGGTCTTATTACAACCCAGGAGTCCAAATGGCCTGTTATCCTGGGTGTAAAGGGAGCAAAATAAACACAGCAGAAAACTTCACCAATTTAGAACAGAAGTATGTACACTATATACACTATGTACAGTGCACTCCACGGTAAGCAAGGCAGAATAGAAGCCACTAGAGAGCAGACCGTGCTTCAACCAGCTCTAGCATGGGAATGACAAGGGCAGACAGGTGAGTGGTACCCACATAACCTCTGCGATTGCCAAAACCATCTTCTCATTGGCTGGAACCTGGGTACTGGTTGAACGACAGGGCCCCATCATCAACCCTCAGTCACCTGGTTCGCTGGTTGGGGGAGATAGCCTGTAAATGAGGGTGTGTACATGCACCGAATAAAAGTTACGTACTCTTTGCATGCCACACCCCCACCCCGAGAAGGCTCAGGATTAGGCTCCCACCTCCCAGTGATAACCGTGCTGCCATGGCACAAAATAATGGGACCGCCTTTCCTCTCAACCATCCAACTCTTAGATAGAGCTCAACTTTTCACGTGACAAAAAGCCAAACCCTAAACTCAGAGCGAGACAGCAGACAGTCGGGCTAGCTTAGGTCCAAGACACGGACGGACGGTAGCCCGCATCCCCTCACTAAAAAAAAAAACCCACACCAGGGGATAAAAAAAAAGAGCTTGGAAGGGGTTACCACAAGTAACCTAACACACCCTAACCTAATATATAATTATTATAAATAATATTGTTAGACTCTAGATAAAGAGTCTGCCAACATATTTTCTTTGCCGGCAATATGTACAATTCCGAGTCGTAGACTCCATCTCATGAGCCTCATATTGTGGGTCTTCATGGCTTGGAGATATATTAGAGGGTTGTGATCACTGTAGACCGTGACCACCTGCGAAGTTTGTCCCACGTAAACATCAAAGTGCTCCAAAACCAGTACCAGTGCGAGGGCTTCTTTTTCAATGGTAGAGTAAGCTTTCTGATGCAGCTGGAATTTGGCAGAGAAGAAGGCTACAGGCTGAAACTCCTTGGCCCCGTTTTGCAACAGTACTGCCCCAACCCCAGACTCACAAGCATCAACCTGTAATGAGAAAGGTTTGGAGAAATCTGGAGACAAAAGAATGGGTGCAGTACACAATAATCTTTTTGCTTTGTCAAAAGCATCCTGAGCAACTAAAGTCCAAATAAAGGGAACTTTGTGACTGGTAAGAGAGGAAAGAGGGGCTACAATATCTGAGAAATTCTTATAGAATCTTCTGTAAAATCTTATCATGCCTAGGAAACGTTGAAGAGATTTCCTATCATGTGGAACTGGATAATCTTTAATGGCAAGAACTTTAGCAAGTTTAGGAGCAACTTGACCACTACCTACTTCATGGCCTAGAAAAGTAACAGTGGCCTGGCCAAAGGAAGACTTAGATAAATTAGCAGTTAAATGGGAACTCTGAAAGGTCTCAAAGAGAGCCTTAAGCCTAAATAGGTGCTGATCCCAAGTATCAGACACCACAACAATATCATCCAGGTACGCTGCCGTGCCTTCACGGTTGATGATCTCTGCTAGGCTGTTGATAAGAGAGACGGGACCACTCGGACAAGGAGCGGTTAGTGGTTAAGTCACGATCCTGCAGAAAGACTCGAACCTCTGGTCCCACAGACTCCAGCAGGTTGTCAATCAGAATAAGCTGCACAAGATCATCGAAGGTAGCAACACCACTTGCTTTATACCAGCTGGTAAAAGCTTTGGTCTGCTGTCGCACAAAATCAACCAGGGATTGACCAAGCTGTCGTCTGCCTAACTTAAAGATCTTTCTGTATTTAGCTGGGATATATGTACATGCTCCCAAAACTGTGGACTTCACTACCTTATAATCGAAATAGTCAGTGTCATTTAACACTGACATAAATTCCTGTGCCTTACCAAACAATGCTGTGTGAACCAACGATGCTCAATGCTGTTCCGACCACCTCAAGGCTCGAGCCTGATTTTCGAAAGCTTCGAAAAATTGTTCTGGTTCGGCCTCATTGAAGCGGGGAACAAGCTGTACTGCTTTCTGTAAACTAAAGTCATTTACAGAATGAGAAAACTGCCTCCTTTCTTTTTCCCTATCAAATTCTTCTTTAGCAAATGCTCTCTGTTCCCTACTGCCAAGATGTTTTTGGCCAGCTCAGGTGCTAACGCCGCTGATTCACCTTGAGACAACCCTGCTGCACTAGACTGACGATTTTACTCTGTTGATATATCATCTTCCTCCTGCGAGAACATAGGAGTTTTGTTCCTAGCTCCCATAGAGGGAGGAGTCTGATGTGCCATCTCTTCTTTTCGAAGTTTGTCAGTGATCAGTGAACACAGTTGCTCAGTTCTGAGAGTGCGTTCGTAATCAATATCAATAGAATGAGCAATTTGCCAACAATGCTATTGGGACAATTTAAGTAGGTTAAACAAAGTAATCCGACACCAGACGCACTGTCCTAGGGGCATACCCCAATGATAAGTTATTTGCTATGCACAGTACGATTGCAGAATATGCATACAAGATGGATACGCAACAGCAAAGCTGACTGCAAAATCTTCACACCGAACAAGCTAGTAGCGAGCTGTTGAACGATCATAAAATAGCAAGGCTGACCATAGCAAAGCAACTGCCCGAAAAATTTTAAAGCATTGGCAAAGCTAAAAATAATCCCAGACAGCAATTTTTAAGCTTACTCACCCTGTAACAACTTAAAAACAGTATTACCAAGGCTGGTTCCTCCTCAAAAAATAAAATGAATAGAAAAAGAAATAATAATTCACAAAGATAAACACTTTATTATATATTAATGCAAATATAAAACATTGAAATATGAAGGTGTATCCTACTTGAAAGAAAAATAAAAAATAAAAGGGAAAAAATGACATTTGAATTAAACGCTAATATGTAATTATGCGGGGTGTCGGTTAGGTTGAAAACCATCTTTAGAAAAATTTTTGCCATTGCTGATTATGGGGGGTAGTTACAGGGGTTAGGACAACCCAGTGACTAGTTTTTTTCACAGAGTCGTCCCCATGAAGGAACACGGTTCTTTTACCCGCAAAGAGAGGAGTAGTGTTCTGTACAATTAATCAGGTAGGTAGATCATGAAGTGACGTCACAAGACCGGTTTCAGTCCGTCTCCTTCAACACTTCTCGTTGGTTGGCAGGTGACCCGATCTGTCATTCCAAGAGTTGTGCTGGGAGCTATGAGTCGAGTGATTACTGTTTGTCCAGAGCCCCACATGTCACCTTTTGGGGTGGGGAAAAAAGGGGGGATAGGGGATAGCGGGAGCTAGACTGACCCTACCTTAACAAGCAGCCGGCAATCAAACTATCGTTACCATATACTCGCTTGCTACTCCTATCTGTTGAACTTTTCCCTCACACAAGCTACACACTGTTCCACAAGATTGACCATAGCGAAGCGAGCACACCGAACAAGCTAGTAGCGAGCTGTTGAACGATCATACAATAGCAAGGCTGACCATTGCAAAGCAACTGACATGCAAAGTTTGTAAAGTGTTGGCAAAGCTAAATGCAATGCCAGACAGCAATCTACACAATGTTCCTGCTTCCAGCTCAACCCTTTCTCTAAGTCCAGCTCCAGCTCCCAGACAGGCCCCCATATTACAGAATAGAAGCCACTAGAGAGCAGACTGTGCTTCAACCAGCTCTAGTATGGGAATGACAAGGGCAGAAAGGTGAGTGGTACCCACATAACCTCTGCAATTGCCAAAACCATCCCATTGGCTGGAACCTGGGTACTGGTTGAACGACAGGGCCCCATCATCAACCCTCAGTCATCTGGTTCGCTGGTTGGGGGAGATAGTCTGTAAATGAGGGCGTGTACATGTGCCGAATAAAGGTTATGTACTCTTTGCATGCCACAGGACTCAAGAATGAAGTCAAAAGGGTCTGGTTGGAGTGGTTCTTGAGAAGGTATGCTGTGGACGTTTGTTTCTTGCAGGAGCACAAATATAAGTCAGGATGTGAGCTGCAATTGAGGGGTTATAAGATGTTTGCAAGTATGGTTTTGCATTTAAAGGGAGGAATGGCTGTGGTGGTAAAGGAGACCAGCCCATTGTGCATCATGGGTGGGAGGAGGGGGGAGGGGAGGGTTGTTTGGGTGGATGGGTATTGGGAGGAGGGGAGGGTATGTTTAGTGGGGGTTTATATGCCAGCAATTAGTAATATGAGGGTGAAAGCAGACTTTGTTAGGGAAATTTTGTTGTACTATCTCAAGGGTCTACCTGCTATTTCGGTAATAGAGGGAGATTGTAATTGTGTGATTCGGCATGGGGTTGTGATACCGAGGGGTGCGGGGTGTGTGTTGAGTGCATTGAGGGATGCTTTACGGGATGTGGGGGTAGTTGATGTGGTGGGCAGGGGGGTATCAGGTGGAGCACATGTATGTTCGGGGGAGTTATGAAGCACGGTTGGATAGAATTTATGTTATGCAGGGGATGGGTGTGGAGATGGTTAGGACTATTGACGTGGGTTTGTTGATCATAGGGCGGTGTTGGCTGACCTTCAGGTCGATGGCATTGCTCGCATATGTCCGAGTTATTGGAAATTGAATGTGCGGCTTTTACAGGAGGATGATCTAGGTTTGTCCTTTCAGGACTGGTGGAAGGTTTTTTGGGAGGCTAGGGATGAGGATGTGAATTTGATTGGCTGGTGGGAGTTGCATGCAAAGGTGGAGATTGCAAAATTTTTTAAGGTACGTGGCAGGGAACGGGCACACTGGCAGTTTGGCCTGCAGAATTACTTAGATGGGCAGTTGAATGATTGTTATGGGGGGGGAGGGGAAGGTGTGAGTGGAGATATGGGGGAACTTAGGAGTCGCTTAGTGGAGATTCATAATGAATGGTTTGATGCACTCTGTGTCAGGTGACATGCCATCTGGGTATGTTTTAAGGAAATTCAAGGACAGGCAGTTGATAATTACTGTGGCACATTTAGTGGTTGGGAGGGGGGGGGTTATGTGGAGAGTCTTTCTGATACAGACAGCATCAGTAGGTATGCAGATTATTGCTTTCGGGAGAACTGGAGGAGGAGGGAGGAGGCTTTGGGGTGGATTCATTTGGGGATATCGGGGCACATCTGGTTTTGGGGCATGGGGACAGGGAAATGTTGGAGGGCAGCATTAATAAGGCACAGGTGGAGGAGGTGGTGAATGGGTTGGGTCGGGGGAAGGCACCGGGAATAGATGGCTTATCTAACGATTTTTATAGAGCACATTGGGAGAGTCTTCGGAAGTGTCTGGTGGTGGTTCTGAATTATATGTTGAGCAGTGGTAGTATGGGGCGAACACAGAAAACTGAGATTATTTTATTGGTGCAGAAGGGGAGGGAGGGGAATGGTTTGGGTGATTATCGTCCTTTGTCATTAATGTGTTCGGATTACAAAATTTTCGCAAAGATATTATTTAATAGATTGAAGAAGGAAAGGGGGTTTTGGGCTGTCTTTACATAGGGGTCATTTATGGGACCCCGGGGGCTTTTGTATGGGGAAGGGGCACGTAAGATAAGTTTTTTTATGGGAAAAAGGCCCGGGAAAGGGAGGTTTTTCCTTGGTCTGGCTTGGTAAATTAGGGATTTTTTAGGGGTTATGTTTGGAGAAGCGGGTTTTTTGGGGGGGGGGGAAAGTGATTTGGGTGCACCCTCAATAAAAAAGGGGGGCAGTTGTGCGGGTGGGGTTTAAAATGGAAAGCTTGGGGGACCCGGGGGTGCTGATGGACGGGGCCAAAAACCCCAGGGTTGTCCACTCTCTCGGGTTTTTTTGCATGTTTTGGCGGCGGGTTTTTCCCTTTGGGGGCGGGTGGAGGCTGTTCGGGGAAATGAGGGGGGGGCTTTAAGGGGACCCGGGTGAGGAAAATTAAAAGGTTTTGGGGCCCCCCCCTTTCGGGTAGGGGGGTTTTTAATTTTAGCGAAAGTCGAGGTTTTTGGAGGGGGGAAAAATTGGAAAGGGGGGCGTTTGGGGGAGGGTTGGGATGGTCATTTGGGTTTACACCCTTGGGTTTTTTGGGGGATATGGTATAAGGGCAAGGTGAAGGATTGCGGAGGA